TTCCTTATATAGAGCTATAGCTAATTTTTCTTCTAGACATGGCTGATAAATTTTATAACCTGCTCTATATTTGGAACATCTTTTCTAATCTTTCTAATAAATAGTTCCACCCCTGTTTATCCGTGTTTTTTTTCTCTTTTAACAACCTCCCTCTTTCTTGAATAAACGGTACTCCCAACCCTCTTGGTTGTTTGGGTTTTTTTTTTATCACGTGGATATGGTTTTTTGTTTATTGACTATATATTCCGTTTTTTTTGTTGCCTTGTTAGTCGGTCTTCCCTGACGACCCGTTTAGGTGAAACCTTGGTAGGTTTGTCTGGCTCTCTAGGTTTAACTAGGTCTGCTCTACTCATTGTATTGAGCACTCTATTTAGTTATTTTGGGTATTCGCATAGGGTTTTTTTTTCTTTGGACTCGTATGCTGGACGATTATTTTCGGTTAACGTTCATGTTCTTGGTTCTTTCTTTTTTAATACCTTTTTTTCCCTTTGGTATTGGCTTGTTTATTTGCAAATCAATACACCGAAGGTTTTCCGAGCGAGTATAGTTTCTCATAAGTATAAGATTTGTATTAATATATATATATATATATATATATATATATATATATATATATATCCGAACCATTTTCCAAAATTTGATTAAATTGCCAATCACAATTTTTAGAATTCTTAGTGGTTGAACCAGAAGTTTTTCATCACCCATTCGTGTATGTATGTATGTATGTATGTAAACAGATAGATAGATAGATAGATAGATTGGCCTAAGAAAGATTTTAAGCCAGAAGAAATAAAGTACACCCAATTTCAAAATTTAATTAGGTAATCACAACTCAACAGTATTTGGAACTAGGACGGAGTATATACTCCATTTTCTAGTTTCAGTGCTTGTATTTGATTTCATCAAGTTATCAACAATCGTCTGATCCATATTTTGCCAATCTTTTAGCAATATTTCTTTAAGGGTTGCTACTGACGTTATTTTGGTTGCACGCTCTCGAAGTTTTCGGCCAAGGTGAACCCAAACGTGCTCTATTGGATTCATGTGTTGTGGAGTGATTTCACAGTAGAGGCTTGTATTTGTACTAAGTCGGTCCTAAAATAGGTTCGACGTACAAAACGTTAGGAACTTCATATAATAGGTATGACACAGAGTAATCTAGTTGTAGTCGCTGATACTTTAGTATCTGGCTAACGGTCGTCCGGCATCGACTGACTGACCGACCCACTGAGCCGACTCGTTACTCTTACTACTCCTACTTATTATAGGTGGGAGAGTCTATTAACTATAGAATAGGCGTGTTCCACTATAACATCCCCCCTAAAACTTTACTCCGTAGGAGTAAACAGTTTTATTTATTTATTTTTCATTTTTTACAGGAAATATGAAGAAAAAACAACAACAAAAAAATCATTTTTTTTTTAGCAACATCGTAGCGTATCTCCTACGTTTTGGATCCACTTTTAAATGATCAGTTGCCTTTCTTTTTCTCCTGGATCGGCGTGCCTCAGGTAAAATTGTTGCAGGAGTTGTTAGATCAAACCCATCGAAAATCACCTCCATCAGCGTTTCTTCCCACGTCTCAAAAACGTTGTCTGATCTGGTTACTGCACGTGAATTTTTCGCCTTTCACCAAGTACATCATATAGCCAATCCGCTTTTCTATTTTTTGGTACCTCCATAATGTTACCAGAAACAACCGTCTGCTTTGAGCTTCTTAAGGATGGAGTCACAGTTTCTATAGGTTCTTCTTGTAGTTCTATTTGTTCAGCCTCTAGCTTCCCTTTTGCTGATCTTGTGCTTAACGTTTTCTGTGGTGACTTCAGTTGACTTAAATCATTTAATAACACTGCATGTCCTTGGCTGTGGGTAACTCGCTCCCCAGTTTTTCTCGGTGTCGGCTTCATCTTTACTTTCTGGAGCTTTTTTTTTTCACGTATATCGTCGGTGTTACCCATTCAACTTTTTTAAATACACCGGTTTTCTCTAATCTGTCCAATTCTTTATCTATCTGCTCAATTGAAGCAAACAGCACATTCCTTTTCTTTTTGAATACCACCTGAGCGTTTTCTTTTCGCTGGAATTTTGCCTCCATCTTGGTACACGTTCCCAAACCTGGAGAAAAAACAGTAGGAAATGTTTCCTTAAGTTTCTTTACTAATTTTTGGGCATCTGTATTTAAACTTTCTACTTTGTAACAGAAAGAATTTATCGGTAGATCCCATAATTGGAATTCTGTTATCCAATTCGTACCAAGTAAGTTCGTGGTATTTTCTATGACAAATAGTTTAGCTTTTCGCATTTTTTTTATTTAACGTGACGTTTGTAACAAATTCCTCATAATAAATTGTATTTTTCTTCCGTCACTGACCTCGCGATTTTATTTGTTTTCATTAAAGTTGGTTTCCCCAACTTCTTCCACGTATGCAAATTTATGATAGATAGGTCGGAACCAGTGTCGAGTTGCATTTTTATTTTTTATTACTTATTTCGACGGGAACAAATTTTCTGGTTATTCCATCGTTCACCTCGTCGGACTTTAATTTTCTTATTTTATTGTCTTTATTTTTTGACCTGCAGTGCGAGCTTTTATGACCCACTCTTTTACAGTTGAAACATTTTTTATTCCTAAAATTGCAATATCTGTACCAGTGTAGTTCACCGCAAGCAAAACATGGCTTCGGGAGTTTTTGTTTATTTTTCTCTGGTATTTTACTTTTTGTTTTATAATCCGCAATTTTAGAATTCTTTTTGGTAGACTGACTTTCTTTTTTGTAGCGTATTTTCCTTACATGCGAAACGCCAGACTGTTCTATCTTTTTCGAATCTTTCTTTACGCTAACATATCTTTTGCAGTCTTTTACCAACTTCTGTATCGTAATCCTTGGTTCGTTTTCCAATTTTGCCAGCACTAATTTCCTCAACTCTGTGTCTCTTTCCGATACCGGCCCTTGAACAAACACTAAGCACTTAAAATTGTCAGCACTTAACTCTGCCAGCTTGAATTCTTCACAATGCTTGTTCACACTGGCTGCGTACGTTATATAGTCTTGTTCGTCATCTTTCATCAGATTCAAACATTTCCACCTCTTGTGAAACAAAAATGTCTTTTTACTAAATAGTTCACTTAATATATTTACCGCCTCGGTAAATGTCAACTCGCTAGTTTTTTTCGGTAAAATGTAGTTTACCAATTTTTTATGCTCAGCAGTTCCTAACTTGCTTAAAAGAAGTCTAACCTTTTTTCCTTCAGCCCACGAGTGGCAGTCGTCGTTTTACACGTCCGTATATTTTTTATAATACTCCTCAAACGTTATCTCTTCATCTGGACTGTACGTGAATATTTCAATTGAATTCCATATTGTATTCTCTGGGAAAGAATCATTTTGTAGCTTTTTCTCTTTTCTCTTCTCAGTTATTTCTAGAATTTTATTTTGAAACTCCCTATTCATCTGTTCCATTTTTTCCTCCTGTAGCTGCACCTGGAATGTTTTTTTGTTGCTCTAATATTGTCATCTGTTGTTCCGTCTGGAACTTAAAAAATTCCTGGAATATATTTTTGCATTCCTCCATCTTCGCAAAAAGTTTACACAATGCTTAAATATTGTAGAGTGGGGTCCTACGAATTTGCAATTCGTGACCTATTTGAGCAAACTGTCTTATCGAGAAAAAAATTCTTTTCTCAGTTGAGAATACGACTGTTTTTTTCGTCACTAAGTTGACGTCTTGTCTTTCAAAAAACTTTGGCAAGTTTCTTTTTTTTTTTTAGTGTGAATCCGAGATTTTGTCGCCGAAATTGTGACGACCAAATAATGTTGTGGCGAGCGAACTTTTTTCTTTTCTTCCACCGTATGAATCCGAATCCGTCGTAGCCAAACTTGTTATGGCGTGATTTCCCAGTGGAGGCTTGTATTTGTACTAAGTCGGTCCTAAAATAGGTTCGACGTACAAAACGTTAGGAACTTCATATAATAGGTATGACGCAGAGTAATCTAGTTGTGGTCGCTGATACTTTAGTATCCGACTAACGGTCGTCCGGATCGACTGACTGACCGACTCACTGAGCGGTATTCAGTCACCCCCCAACGAGGGTATCATGTCGCACGAGGCCGGTTTAACGTGGGATCCCCGAGCCCGTGGGATCCCCGAGCTCGTGGGATCCTCGAGCCCGTGGGATCCCCGAGCCCGTGGGCTCGGCCAAAAATATGCCCTTTTAACCCGTATAAACGTGTTCAGGGTCGGTTTACCTCCCCGAAAGAGACTCCGTCCTTCGGCGTAGCCTCGTTCGGGTTCCTCCCCGCCCGAAGGCAGAGAGTTCAACCGGTCAGCCTGTCGTCCTACTTCAGACTGAACTCAGACCGACCCACTGAGCCGACTCGTTACTCTTAATACTCCTACTTATTATAAGTGGGAGAGTCTGTTAATTATAGAATAGGTGTGTTCCACTATAACATCACGTCAGGACTTTAGGCTACCCATGGAAGAGACTTGATTCGTTGCGATTTATTCTAGGCTTTTGCTACATTGCTTGTATGATATGGCGCTCCATCTTCTTGAAAAAGGTAGACATTCTTGTCAATCTGATTGTTTCCAAATAGTGTGAGTTGTCCTTTTTCTAATATTTGACAGTGTTTTGAACCATTCAATCACTCGTCAACAAGAATCAGTTCAGATTTCTCTCCAAACCAGACAGCGCCCCACGCCATTTTCCCGATCCCTCCATGTTTCACGGTCGTCTGCAGACATGCAGATGTTCCAAGTCTCATTTTGCTTTCTCCAAACAGACCTATCTCGAATTCAAATATTGACAAAATTTACTTTCATTTGACCAAATTAGACTGAAAAAAATTTCATAATCTTTGCTCACGAATTCTCTCGAGCAGTCCATACGCGTATTCATGTTAACCTCTGAATTCAAGGACTTCTTTCTTGAAACTATTCTTTGATAGCTTAGCTCATACAGTTATTACACAAGCCAAAATAGCTGTAATCAAAGGGGGCTAAGAACTTATCATAGCCCATAGATAGACAGATAGATTTGGACAAAATGAGATAGATAGATAGATAGATACGAACAGAATGAGATAGATAGATAGATAGATATGAATAGACAGAGATATAAAGATACGAATGAACTGAGATAGATAGATAGATAGATAGATAGATAGATATGGACAGAATGAGATAGATAGATAGATAGATAGATAGATAGATAGATAGATAGATAGACTGTGATATAAAGATAAGAATGGACTCAAATAGATATGAATAGGCTTAAATAGATATATATTGAAGAATGAGATAGATAGATAGATAGATAGATAGATAGATAGATAGATAGATAGATAGATATGAATAGACTGAGATATAAAGATACGAATGAACTGAGATAGATAGATAGATAGATAGATAGATAGATAGATATGGACAGAATGAGATAGATAGATAGATAGATAGATAGATAGATAGATAGATAGTGATATAAAGATAAGAATGGACTGAAATAAATATGAATAGGCTTAAACAGATATATATTGAAGAATGAGATAGATAGATAGATAGATAGATAGATAGATAGATAGATAGATGCGCTCATGTGTTGTTATTGGAGAGCCGAGGCTGTAAACGAATTAGTTGCTGCAGTTAATAAATCTGCTAATTCTTTTCAACGAACGCCGTCTCGAGTGGAAATGTCTAACTCCGAAGCAATAATTTCATTTGTTGGAAATTATTTTTGTTGAACTTTTCGCTAAAGTAAAAAAAGTACGTTAACAGAAAACAAGAACTAAAATAATTACGCTAATGCATTTTCGTTAGAGTTTTCGCCTTAATCTTTACGTGCTCAAACAGGTCAATCCATTGAAAAAATAAATGCCCACTCTTCTTTCATTAGCCCTGTTAATGAGTTGTGTTCAGCAGGCGGCTTACTCGGCAATGTGTCTTAATACGCATATCAAAATGGCCGTGCTTATGAATGTTAATAACGCATATTCCATAATCTTCTTCATTCCTTCTTAAGCAAATAATCTTTTGTTCAAAGAAGTAATGAATCTTTTATTGAACATACTGTTCGGAACAATTGAAAATTAACCGTAATATTGAAAGGATAGTTTTCATTTCGTCAGTTAATGTCTTAAACACTGAAACTACCATTTTCGCTAAAAGAAAAGAAGAACATCATTGTCATATTCATGCATTGGAAAATCGTACCATCTTATGAATTTTTTTTTAAAAAAAAGAAGTTTTCTATCGAGTATATTCAGATCTGGCGTCTCGTCTACAGTCACTCTCTCACAGATGCGCCGTCGCCTCTCTCTGACTTTTCTATAAATACTTTCATGGTAATTGCTCCGATGAGCTGCTTTCACTGGTTCCCAGACTCCATGAATTCAATCGCCCTACGAAGCTGGCATCCCGCTCTCAACCTTACACTGTAGAAACTTTTAAATGTAGCCGTCTCTTCTACTCCAATAGCTTCCTACCTCGCACCTCTCGCCTGTGGAACACCCTTCCCAATTACTGTTTCCCTGAGAGCTATAATCCCCAACTATTCAAATGTAATGTCAATCGACACCTCCAGTTACCTTGATCTACCCACTATCCTTCTCCTCATTCTTTCTTCTATCACTCCTATCTGCTCTCGCTCCAAATCTTCTGCAACCCCCTGCATCCTAGTGGCTTCACGCCTTGATCGAGGCGTAATACTTAAAAAAAATATTCTGTGTATTTTTTAGGTAACGTCTTTTTTCCAAAGTAGGGATCTTTGTCTATGTTGAATAATTTCGAAACAGCTACCAAACTGTGGGAGAAGATATTTTAATGATTATTTTAGGTGTATATCAGTCACAGAAATGAAACTACAGAAAATTTGCAGAGGAAAGGAAAAACGAAAAGAAAAGTACTATCAACTGTAACAACACAAAACGTTGGATTGTCAGCGGGTGGAACGGTTCAAGATGCGAACGACGAACAGTCAGTCAGTTACGTGCCATGACTGACGAGGCAGATTTTTTTCCCGTAGTTGTTTCTTTCTGCGGTAGACCAGTTGCCATCCAAGGCTATAGAACACGGTCTGTCCTGCTATTTACCCATAGGTGGTGGGGAGAAGAAGAAGATTCATACCTTTTCCAAGGGTATTAGCACGTAAACGAATGTAATGGATTCAACTGGAATTCGAACTCGGCTCTCTGATTCCTCAATCCGAGCTGCTATCCATTACTTCACCGTGCCGATGTTGAAAGCAATCAAATGTGAACATTTAAATTTAAATATCTGGGATATGTTTTAACAGATGGCGGAAAATGTGACCAAAATTGAAATAGCGAAAAATATCTTCCAGAAGCTAAGCAATGTATTAATAAATAGGAAGATTTCGTTTCAAAACAAAGAAAATACTACCGAACTGCTATGTCATATCAATCTGAATGCTAGACAATTTCTTTATAGATGAAGAGAAGACTTGAGACAACAGAGAAGTAGATCTACAGAACGGGAGAAAGAAGATCAGGGACGAATCATGTGAGTAAATAGGAGTTGTTTTTTTAAAAAAAAAAAGAAAAAGACACTTATATGTACAATCAGAAAGAGGTAGTTAAACATTCTTGTACAAATAAGGCGAAAGAAAGTTCGGAATATTTAACACCCACGATACATGCGGGAGAAACAGATGAAAGGAGTGAGTAACTTACCTAACGGCCTATATGTCGCAACAAAGAGTAGGAGAGATAACGTAACACACAAACCTTGCTAAGAGCTACAAAGGATAGGAAGTAGTGAAGACCCATGATCGCCGACGTCTTGATGTGACACGGCACATTGAATATAAAATTATGTTTTCTCTTTTTTTTTACCTGCTTTTTACTAGGTTTTAAATATGACTCTCAAGTCGGAAATGAGATCGACGCCTACGCACAGAAAAAAAGTTCAATTGAAAAATAAATTTAAAAATAAGCTCTTTTTATATGTGCTATATACCGTACCTATGAACACTAATGGAACTGCCCCAATCTCTATAAATACGTTGGACACTATTGTAAGTTGTTGTAATATGCTAAGTCGTCCACCACTAGCAGTGGTTTACCTACTTCATGCCGCTGGCGAGTCTTGTATTTTGTTGATATTATAAAGCTTACTAATTCAATTCCAACCTCCCTTTTGCTTATTCCTCATTCAGAATTCAACACTATCTATCTATCTATCTATCTGTTATAGTGATTTTCTAAACCCGGCTTAGATCTGGAACAAGGCCGAAAGTATGGGGTACCCAGTGAGGATCGAACTCACTACTCAGTCGTAATTGATCTAGCAAGACAAGCTTTCTAACCATTACACCACGTCGAGGTGCCCCTATCTATCTGTTATATACCATACCTATGAACACTAATGGGTATGTCCCAATCCTCATAAATACGTTGGGCTCTATTGTAAGTAGGGGTAATATGCTGTCTAAGTAGTCCACAACTTGCAGTGGTTTACCTACTTCACGCCGCTGGCGAGTATTGTATTTTGTTGATGTTATAAAGATTACTATTTCATTTCCAACCTCCGTTTTGGTTATTCCTTATTCAGTAATCCTCTCTAGGTTACAACAGATACAAACAGGACAGATTTGTGGCAAGAGATAGAGGATAACAATGCATAATCTACTTAGCGAGCTTGAGTAAATGGATATATATATATATATATATATATATATATATATATATATATATATGGGGTTATTACCGCCCTATGAAAACTAATGGGTATGTCCCAATCCACATAAATACGTTGGACACTATTGTAAGCGGAATATGCTGTCTAAGTATTCCACCACCAGCAGTAGTTTACCTACTTCACGCCGCTGGCGAGTATTGTATTTTGTTGATGTTATAAAGATTACCATTTCATTTCCAACCGCCGATTTGGTTATTTCTCATTCAGTAACCCTTTCTAGGTTACATTAGTATGCATTTTCCGCTTGGTTGTTGCTGACTTTTCACAAACAGTCTTCTGCACTAGTTCAGCAGAAATTCGTTTTCTGCACTGTTCAGGAGAGAATCGGTAATTCCATTATTTGAATTCTTACCTCGACAAAAACAACTAGTAATTTAATCAACCAGAAATTGTCTTGTTCCAAGTTCCTAAGAGAAAAAAAAATGTTGCAGCAGATGTCCTGATCTGAAAAATCCACTTCTAGCCATTACTTATTTTATACGCAGTGTTGCTTTCTGTTATAGTTGTAAGATCTAGGGAAGAAAGATTTATTCTCCCATTTATTTCCCCAGTTATGGGTATTATCAAATTCACGTAGGGAACGGATGGAACGGAATGGCGGAAAGAAAAAGGAATGACTATGCTTTGTTCTCAAAAACACTTTTATGCCACTAAGACATACACAAAACTATATATTCAAATGTAAACATGTTCCACACGGAGAATAATATATCACATATATCTACACAGTGAAGCAGACCGTAAGGAGTAACAAAAAGGGAGTCTTTCATATAATATGGCTATACTCCTGTATCTGGAGAAGCCATGTTTACGACTCCAGATTCAAACGGGCCGGATTCATCTATGTCCCAGGCGAGGGCATATTTGTTTATATTTACATACGCTCTATCCCTGATAATGAGGACTTTAACCTATAGATATAGGATATAGTTTTTTTTCTGATCTTCATTAGTGATATCCGAGATATCATCAGTTCCCAACTAGGTTTGTATGCAGATTATAATACTATTTACTCATGTCTCAGTAGTAAATCCGATACATCTGGCAAAGTAAACATGGTAGCTGCTTTTGAAAAGGGTCTCCAATCATTTGGATATTTTTTATTATGCTGTTCCTTGATCTAAGCTTTCGGCAATTTTTGTCTTTATTTTAACCCAAAATTAAAGCAACCATACGAATTTTAGAACGGTTCACAATCAAACATAATAGACATTCATTGTTATATTTAACAATATATGTTTGAATAATGACCTGCCGTTCCAATGCACTGTAGTGGATAGCGGCTTGGATTGAGGAATCGGAGAGCCGAGTTCGAATTCCAGTCGAGTCCATTACATTCACTTACGTGCTAATACTCTTGTAAAAGATGTGAATCCTCTTCTTCTCCATCCAGCTATGGGTAAATAGCAGAACAGACTGGGTTCTATAGCCTTGTATGGCAAATGGTCTAGGAGAAGGACAACTCTGAATTCAAAACCTGCGGAGGGTCGTTTGGGGACCTTGTGGCATTTAGTGCACCAGGTCTCTGTATTCGGCCATTTAAAAAGTGTGGATGGTCCTGCACGAAACCTTCACCACTATAATCAAAATCTCATGTGCTGTTGTCGGGCTGTCGGTTTGCTAGGAACTGATCTGCTTGACCCTCATGCGTCGAATTCGACAGGAGAGTAGAGTCGAGCAGTATATATATATATATATATATATATATATATATAATATTTTTCGTTAAATTTCAGTAGCTAGAAAAAACATTAGTATGACAAAGAAGACACATTTAAATCTGTGTGTACAGGAATAGCTATTTAGAAATAGTCTTCTCACAATCACTAAATGTAAAGAATAAACAACCATTTCTGTTAGAGTTTTGTGCATAAACGCTATATAGCTGAGAAGAACAGGAAGTTCGTTTCGCTGTCATAATAAAGCCGACGTCAGCCTTCTTTAGAAAAAAAATAGCCTATGTCTTGAAACTGAGAAGCACTTCGAAAAATGGAGTGTAGTTTGAAAAAAATAGCAATGTTGAAAAATAGAAAGGAAAGAAACTTCAATATAACATTAGAAAAGAAAAGTAAACACACACACACACACACACACACATATATATATATATATATATATATATATATATATATATATATATATATATAGATAGATAGATAGATAGATAGATAGATAGATAGATAAAGCAAAAAACACAAACTGGATATATTCATTCGTTTTATTCTTTAAGGTTAGATGACAGCAGTCCGGAAGTTAACGAAGCGGAAGTTGTTTTAGGATGAATTATATCCCAAGAAAAGAGCATGCAGGAATAGATTCTAAATACCTAAAAAAAATATCGGAAAATATTTTTAAAAAATGTACTTCTGGCTATAGGATACATTTTGTACATTATTTATTGCGTGGAATTCAAATCGCAGTAAGAAGAAAAATTCCACTCGGTTTAATGAAACAGAAATCTAAAGTGTAATAAAAATTCAAAAAACGATAATATCATCTAAATCGTATTTTTTGTTTTGGATTTACAGAATTCAAATACACACATGAATAAATAAAACTAGCAAAGTGGGTTGTTACTTGTTTTAGATATGGAGACATATGTAGATACTTGAGCAGTGCCGAATTAAAAAAAAAAAACTAAAAACTAAAACAAACTATTTTTTTCTCGTGAACTTCCACAAGAACAAGACGGAAGATAGAAACTGTATTTCGCCGAATTTTTTCTTTTTTTCTCTCACTCTCTCATTCTTTGTATTTTTTCTCTACCCCTCCCTCTCTCACACACACACAGAAAGAGAGGAGGAGGGAGAAAGAGAGGAGGAGGGAGAAAGAGAGGAGGAGGGAGAAAGAGAGGAGGAGGGAGAAAGAGAGGAGGAGGGAGAAAGAGCAATACTTTACACATTTTGAATTACTTGAAGTTACTGGCAGCAAAAACATTGTCACTTTTACTGATGCTTATGCCAGCGTTTTCTTTCCTACGTATTTCAAATATTTTACAACTTTCTGATTTCGTGTTTCTCAACTAAAATACTTCTTAATAAATAATTATTTTTAGAGGTAACTAAAAATGTCCCTCGAATATTTGTACGTTCAGTGTCCTAACTTATATTTATGGTCTTAATCTAAAGCTAAATTGAACGTCCTGGGTATGACGATAAACTACATCCGGCAGCCAGGCCACTGATCCGGAGGTTTTGAAACGCATGGAACCAGCTCTTAATTGCTGTAGTTCCCAGGTCCACCCTGACCCAGGCTGGTAGCAACTGTCAGGGCCCTAGCTATAGGCAAATAGTTATTAGGTTGGTGCAAAAATAATGACGTAATAATGTCGTTTTTTGACGTACTTTTCTACGTTAAAAAATGACATTCTTACGTCATTATTTTTGCACCAACCTAATATTACCAATATTACATTTTTGATAAATTATTACAAAATACATTTAGAAAAAAAAATTACAAGCAATACATTTTTGAAAAAAAAAAGTACCAGCAATAAATTTTTGGGAAGAAAAAAAATCGTTAGTAGCAATACATTTGACTCTTGATAAAAAAAACCTCTTCACAAATAATGCGTCAAATGAAACCTGATCTACAAACTGATTTCCCACAAAGAATATATATTATATTCATACGAACTTATCCTAAAATTATCCTAAAAATCTTGTCGGCATTAAATAACCCATTCATGTTGATAGGCCGTAAAAGAAAAAAAAACAACAAATAAACAAAGCAAACCTAAATCTGAATTGAACATAGAATAGGCTAGGGATATTTTCACCTAACAACGCAAATTTATACGAAACCAGAACATTAACGAGAAAACTCGAGTCATGGTCTTAAATAGTAATCCTATATCATATGAATGTATTAGAGAAAATCATGGAGAATTGTGTTTAAAAACAGTAAAGTCGACCTTGCTAACCAAACGCTCCTCTGTGGCCCAGTCGGTTGAGGCACGTCAGGCTATATGACGGTTCTGTATAGGTTACAGGTTCGATTACTATCGGAGGACGCATATTTTCTAGGAAAATTTCTCGGACATTCAGGCCGGTAAATGTTGTTTAATACTGTTTATTATACACAGAGCATTTACTTAAATATTTGTATCTATAAAAAAGAATGTATAAACATAAAAATGTCTTAAAATGATTGTCGGACTTTGTCCATTTCATAATGTGTGACATCATACACACACACACACATATATATATATATATATATAGAGAGAGAGAGATAGATAGATAGATAGATAGGACGTTTTAATTTATCCTATGGTAGGAATGCGTAGAGATAGACGTTAAAAAAGGCTGTTAGTGCTCAGGAACCAAAGCAATAGTTTCTGGTAGAATAATGGTATTTAATGTATATAAAGTCCTCGAGTTAGATGGAAAGATATTCTGAATCCTTTTATCATATATTTGGAAAATACTAGATATTTGTTTCCATTTTCAAAGAGCATTACATAAAATCCTATTACATTTTTTTTCTTTTAAAACTGATTCATAATAATCGAATAAAATAATTGAACCTTTGAACCTCTTCAATCTTGAACGGTTTCTATCCATAATTTTTTTTGTAACTACAGAAAAAGAATATATTCAAAGTTTGAACAATTTTTGTATGATTTAGAATAAGTGTTTGCTTAGAAAAACATAAACAGAAGAGCAAACATTGAAAATAGTTCCTGGCTGATCCTAAGAAATCGAAATAAACAGTAAAGAATAAAAAAAATTAAAAGAGAAAGCAAAAAGGTAAGAAAGTAATGAGTGAAAAGGGAAGGAAAAAAATGGAGAAAAGAAAGAGAAGCAACAAGAAAAGTGGAAAAGGAATGGCAACAGCAAAGGGAAGAATGGAGAAAGAACCTAAAAAGAGAAAGAAAGAAAATGATTAGTAGGAAAGAAAAGAGAGAATCAATGTACATGAAAGAAAGAAAGAAAAAATAACAGGAAAAAGTGAATGGAACAAAGGAGAGGGTTGAAAATGGGAGGAAATAAAAGACGAGGATGAATAAAGGGAAAGAAAAAGAAATGAAAGAGAAACAAGGGAAAACGATGTTAAAGGGAAAGGGAATGAGAGGAAGAAAGGAAATAGCAGAAAGGAAGAGAGAAAGACGGAATGAAAGAATGAGAGAAAGGGGGGAATGCAAAAAGGACAAGAAAGAGAAGCGAAAGAGAAGAAAACAAAAGAGTAAGAAAGAAAAACGAGAAAAATATTGAAAGAAAACAGGAAGAAAGAAAGGTAAAGCTATGAAAGTAAGAAAGAGGAGGAAAGAATAAACAGAAACTTAATATTAGAAAAGAAAGAAAAAAGAAAGAAATAAAGAACGTGATGGGTAGGAAAAATTAAATCATAGAAAATGAAGAAATAAATTAATAAGACTAAAAGCAAAACAATAAAGATAAATAAAAAGAAAGAAAGCAAAACTGAGAAGAATAAGAAAGATAAGATGAAGTAAAGAAAAAGAGTGAAAAAAAATAAGAGAAGGAAAAAGATCAAGCAGTGTAACAATGGAAGAAAAAGAGGAGAAAAAATAAATAAAAAATTAACAAATGTTGGAAGGAAATATCGAGATAGAAATAAGAAAATAAAAGAACAAAAAGGCCAATTAATAAAAACGTATGTTGAAAGGATAGAAGTTAGGAAAAATGAAAGAAAGAAACGGGAGGAAAGGAAAGTAATAGAAAATAGGGAGAGATAAAAAGGAAATTTTTTTAAAACAACAAATAGAGAAAAAAAATGGCCAAAAGGGAAAATATTTTTTTCAAATGATATTCAAAGAAATCGGCAGAAAATAAGAAAAAAGATGAATATATAATTGCGTATTTGTTGTTTTCAGCCATGATTCTTTCTTACCGAGAAGCTTCGGGAAATCCCGCCTTTTTTATACTTTGATTGAAATAGCGAAGAATACTTTTCAAAAGCTGAGTAGAGGAATTGAAAAATAACATTAGGAAGAAAGTGAGCTGAACTGCGATGTAATATTAACTTTCCAATATGGCAGTGAAAGCTGGATAATTTCGTCTCAAAAAAAGGGTGAAACAAGGGAGATGTAAAGTTCTATCTACTGAAGATAAAAAAAAATATGTTCTACTATAAATAGAGTATATTACAAATGAGGAAGTTTCTTCTACCTTTACAAAAGCCAGATCAGGCCGAAAATGGAGCACTGCTCCCACATATGGGCAGAAGCTTCCCAGTTTTCGCTTTCCAATCTCGATAGATTTCAAAAGAATCTACGCGGCCTTGTGGGTGATGAAATATTTTACATCCTGTAATCTCTTTCTCACAGACGAAACGTTGCATGTCTCTCGCTGCTTTATCGCTATTTCCATGGAAAATGTTCAGACGAACTGTGTTCCTTAGTTCCACCAGTTCTAATCTGCATGGCTAAAACCCACCATGCCACGCACATTGTAGCGGACCACACTTATTCTCTGCGTATTCCATTATTGAGATATAAGTTCTACTCGAGCAGCTTCTTCCCACGAATCACTGCTTTTTGGAATCGACTCCCAAGTGTATGCTTTCCCGATCACTATAATCTTAACCTCTTTAAGTCTAGGGTTAATCGTTATCATTTCCATAAATCCCCATAAACTGTGCTTCTTACTCTGTAACCCTCTACCTCAAGTGGCTCTTGAGACTTATGCAGGGCGAATATCACTGTAAAACAAAAAATCTGCTGCTAATAATCAGAAAGTAACAGCTGAGATATGTGGGATATATAAAAAAAAGAAGGAAGGTTTCGAGAATTAAAAACTAACAAGACACATTCAAAACATTTGAAACAGAGGAAAGCAGCAAGTATGTTGACAAATGGCTGGAGGAACAAGTGCCGCAAAAAGAATATTAAAAAGAACGAGTATTTCTCATGATAGCAGACAGAGAAAGGGAGAACTCCCACAGAAGGTAGTAAAAGAAAGCGAGAAGAAAGGACTAATCATCAATTGCAAGACGAGAGAATGTAAGGTTTTCAGCAAAGAAGAACAGCCCAAGATACGAACTACGAATTGAAGATGTCCAAACCAATCAATTACAAAAATCTAAATATCTTGGAATTGTTCTAATAGAGAACAGAATGTTGATAACGAAATCCGAAGGCGTTTTGGAATATCAAAATATGCCTTCCAAAACCTAGGCAACGTATTAAGAAACAGGAATATTTAGTTAGAAATAAAGAAGAGGGTATGAATATCTTATGTAATACTAATCCTCTTCTATGGCTGTAAATATCGGATAATCTTTTCACAGATGAAGAGGAGACTTGAGGCAACGGAGATGTGTTTCTACGGAGGGAAACTGAGAATACCATAGACTGAAAATGTTAGAAACGAGAACGTTTTAAGGAAAATGGAAAACAAAAAGGAGCCTTATACTTACAATTAGAAAGAAACAGTTGAAATTTCTAGGAAACATCAATGAGAAAGAGGCTTAGAGAATCTGACACTCGTAGGACATATTGAAGGCAAGAGGGACAGAGTAAAATAATGTGTAACTTATTTAAGGAGGTTTTCTCTTGGTTGGCAGAACAGAGATTAGGGGAAATAACGAAAAGAATAGAAACTTGTGGAGTACCATAACTGTCCACGTCCTGAAAGGACAAGGCACATTGAAGAAAAATTGCTTGGAGCAGCAAAAGCACAGGAAACTAGATTTCAAGTCCCGAAGGTTTAACATAAGAAAGCAGACAAAAACGAACATAATGCTAGATTGAGTCTATTCAGCAAATTTCTCGTCTGTGTAACACCAGTTATTCATTATGTCCGATAAAATCGCTTCTCTAATGAACACTGCCAGTACTTCCTTCAAAAATATATTTTTTGTGTCTGTAAGTGGAATTATTGATCAATTGCTACGACCAATAATTGGATAAACGAATGACCACATCTTCGTGGCGAACTTCACTTCATTAGATTGTCCAGAACATATGCCAACCTATTTACATTATTCGCACTATTGTCCTCATCTTTGTCGACATATTTATTACAACGTTTCGGCCGTTGTACGCTCCGGCTTTCTTCACGGAGTTAGAATGTCGAACTAAACCCTTTATTTCGCTCACTGCTCTACTTCCAATTAGACTGTTCTAATTCCACGTGCCGTGTCTAGTTATCAGTTATCTCCTGTTAATTCCCTCTCCAAGTTCTCCACCGCCTTAACCAGGTATTGAACTCACAATCTTTGGATCCTGTCACTGGATTTAACTAACGTCTTTATCCACTGTGTCAAGTGTCCTTGAGGATATCCGTGTATGAATTTTATGGGTATTATAAACCTAATGTCATCAGTATCATTTTTTTTACCATTGCTCATATTACAGTTTTTTGCTGTTACCATTGACATTAGGTTTAATAGTTTCTTCCATTTCACTTTTCGATTATGAAAGTCTCGTCCGGACTCTTGCTTTCCAATCAAAAACTTAAATTCAGTGTCAATAGTTAACTTTTGTCTTCTTGATTCTTGTTCTTTTATTATCGGTCTATATTTTTGAGATGATGTATTATAACTATTTACACTATTCACATCGTTCGAACTGTTGTTCGCATCTTTATTGCCATATTCACGAAATTTTGGCCGCTTTACGCTCCGACTTTCTTCAGGTGATATACATTGCAATTAGATACGATTAACTGATACTGAGATATCCAAAAAAAGGTATGGCAGGTGGAATTAGAACAATCTACCCGTGTGGACTAAATAAAGTCTTCGATTCGAAATTCCAACGTATATCACCTGAAGAAGGTCGGAGCGTACAACGACCGAAACTTCGTGAATATGGCAATAAAGATGAGGACAACAGTCCGAACTATGTTAATAGTGTAAACCGTTCTTTTATTGTTCCGTCTCTTTCCTAAGGTATTTTCTTTTTTTTTCACATATTCGTTCTTTCACAGACAGCGACCGCTTGCATCTTAGTGGCTTTATTGCCTTGCTTGGAGTGAAAATATTTTTAAAAAATAATAACAAACAAAACACCGTCTAATCATTTTTGGAAGCGTAATGATAAAGGTGTCGTTAAGGACAGATTGGTTTGTTTTTAAAGGTTTTTCAATCCTTAGTACGTTATTTCATACCGAAAATTATTTGGGATTGCATGAATAATTCTTGTTTTTGCAAGTGAATATTACCTTAACAACATTTTGAGAATATCTTTCCCAAGGTTATTTTCGTTTAAGTGAATATAAAGAGCCCGGCTGGAATACGAACTCGGTTCTCCGATTTCTCATTCCGAGTCGCTATCCTAACAGATCTTGTCGTTCAGGAAATAGCAGGTTTTGTTGGATAGTAATAAAGTTTGACCGATTCTGCCACATTATTCTAATTTCTCGCAATTTAGTTTAACAGTCGAAGAATGCATCGACTAAAGAACAGCAAAGGTAAATGCGAGGAAAACTAATGAAAAGAAAAAAAAAATGTCTCTAATGATGAAATTTATCTTAGCATTCAAAAACACCAAGAATGTTTTGTTTACGAGCAAGCTATTTATTTCGAGAAAATCTGGTTTCGTGTACTTAATAAAAGGCAGAACTCTATAAAATGTTTCGACTCCGTTTAAATCGTAAAAAAAAGAATAATTTTCCCAAAGGAAGTAGGTTCTTTAACAAGTAGATAGACTTAAAAATATCATGTTAAAATGATAAAAATGTTAAAATATGTTAAGATATGATAAAAATGTTAAAATGTCGAAATATCAGTAAAATATGATAAAAATGTTAAAATATATAGGTTAAAAATGTTAAAATGTCGAAATATCAGTAAAATATGATAAAAATGTTAAAATATATAGGTTAAAATGTGTTAAAAATGTTAAAATATGTTAAAAATGTTAAAATATCAATAAGTACATTTTATTATTTATATTCTGATTGTTGAATTAAGTTACGCATTGGCATAGCAGTTATAATTGGCCGTAAAGTAGTTATAGGAATATTGTGATTCAAGTTACTTACAATGTAATATCCCGCCGCATATTATTTAAGAATAAAAACGCGATAAATAATTTTGAATAAATTTTAATTTGAATAAATAAATAAATCATTGCTAAATTGCGACAATAGGTTTCAGGCAAAAAACGATCTTCAGGAATACTTGAAGATGGTTTCTTGCGTAAAACATTTTGTCGCAATTTCAAAAAGCGATTATATATATATATATATATATATATTGTTTTCTTATTTTTTTAATCAGAAGTAGCTCTGTC